ATATATATATATATATGTGTGTGTGTGTGTGTGTGTGTGTGTGTGTGTGTATATATATAATAAACTACTCTGCCATTCTTAATAGATTATTCACTGGGATAAAACTTCATGAATTTAATGGTCAAATGTGTAATTTAAATGCTTAATGCTGACTGTTTCCGAACAATTTTCCCAAACACCATCTGCGCTGTCAGACAGGTGGTTCAGCCTAAAATCAACTTCCAGTTATGATCATTTGAATTTCAGGTTATAATAAGTAACTTTCAAAACTTACTCAATGAAATGCTTATTACAATTTTTGCTCCTTCAAAAAGCTTTTTCAAGAAAATTCCAAACTAATTTTTTTTCCCATCAACACTGATGTACAAGAACACAGTGTTCTAATCTACTAAATGTAAATTGAAACTAAGTGCAGGAATGCCTTAATTGAAATGAATAATTCATTTTGTTTATGAATAATAAAACATCATAAGATTAATTATCCTGTTCCGGCTTGTCTGCTCTAAAATCCACACCAATGATATTGATCTATTACCATTTGCTTCGAGGAAAGACAGATAATCGGATATTTGGAAGAAAATTTGGAGTTCTGTGTCTGATAACATGACTTCATGTCAGTTTGAGTTCTGTTTGGTTTTAAAGCAGAAGAGAGGACAAACCGGATGGATAGATAGATAGATTATAGACACAGACAGACAGACAGACAGACAGACAGACAGATAGATAGATAGATAGCCTGGACAAACTTTTATTGCGCTAAACTCACTCTACGATGCAAAACAGACGCTTTGGTACTCTTGAATTGCGCGGGGACCAAATGGTTGAGCTTTCATCCACACATTAACGCGCTCTAGTTTTTATTCTTACTGTCACAGTTAACGGATACAGATAACGGTTTTTTTTTCCCTAGCTCAGTGTTTGGATAAAATGTAATTACGCGATGTGAGCATGTACGGCTGGCTCGACGCCACTATGAGATCGGTTCAGTCTGCTGCTGTTACCGCTTTTACATCGGATTTATATTTGATATGGATATTGTTCACTATATCGATAACAACAATCAAAGGTAAGAAATGATCAGTTTCAGTAAAGCAAAGCTGGGTTATCTTCGAAAAAATCTTATTTTCTTTATTTAGGAATAGATTTAGGATTTAGGAATAGATTTTCATGATCAATAAAAAAAATATTGGAAAAAAGAATACTGTAAAATAATAATAATAATTAACCTACTACAATGTAAAACTTTAATTGCTGATTTGATAATATGCATTAACTATATTAGTCTACTTTTCATATTATTGGATCATAAATGTCTTATTCATTCTTGATCCCTTCAACCAAATTATATATGAAATATGACCTTATCAAATCCAGTCATATGCATGTGACATTTTGAAGTGGTGATAGATGTTACTTGCAGTGATAAGTTCAATGTACTTTTTCAGCCACTTTAATATTTCATTACTGGTGAGTAAAATCAAGTTAAAACTTAAGTTAAATTAATGGAACAAATGATTCTATAATTTTTACAGTGCCGCTAAGTATTCCTTCATTACTAAAGGAACATTGTCAATTGTGCTGTACCACAATAAACACCTTGTAACACTTGAGGCGTGTTGGACACTGAAATCCAACATTTAGATCTGCAGTTGAGATTTGAGAGGTTTTATAAAGTCATGCTTTATAAACCTTGGTTTTAAGGGATAGAGAATAGTTTTGAGAGAGATATTGATCATTGTATCAGTAATGTAAAATGAAATGTAGACTATATGTCCATCCACAATCTTAAATATTCTGTATCACTATTTTTAATATTGCTATAAATTGGGTTGTCAAGGCATGTGTCAAACTATTCTGCATGACGAGACTGGTCAGGGGCTTAGGTTCTACTTGATTGCATCAAAAAGCCATTGAATAAGATTATAAATACTACATTTGATTTGAATTTAATAGATATGATCATGTTTTTAATTAATAAAGTTATGTTTCTAAGAGACTTACAAATAGTCTTTATCAGTCAGTAATATGAAATACAGTATCACATCCCATAGTGTGTTTAGATTTATTGTATAAATACTCTTCTTGGCAATATTGCTGTAAATGAGGCCAGTGTTACCAGTATGGTCTTGAGGAACAGGCAGTTTACCAACTACATTCCAAAAAATAAGGTTCTTTATTGGCATTAATGATTCCAAGAAGAAACTTTAACATTCATGGAACCTTTCACAAAAGGTTTTGTGATGGCACAAAAGGTTCTTTACGGTGAAAAAAGGGTAAACCATGGTTCTTCTAAAAATTGTTTACTGAAAGGTTTTTTGGGGAACCCAAAATGTTTCTTCTGTGGCATCGCTGCGAAAACACCCTTTTGGAAACTTTATTTTTAAGAGTGTGTTCTGGATGACACGGGAAGAAGGGATTTCCTCAAAATGTCAGTGAATAAACTTCCAACCAAACCAAAACCAAATATGTTTGATGGTGCTTAAATATTTCTACAATGAGGATTTAAGGAGTCTACACTGTTATTGATTATTGGGCTCAGTATAGTGAAAGATCCCTAAATATGAGAGCGCAAGCTGTTGTCTTTTTCCTGTGATTGGCTTCTTTCACAGATGGCATTGTATCTCGAACACTCAGTTCTCATTGAAGAAATTCCAAGACACGTACTGGACAGACAGTTACTTCAAGACATGTTACAGAGGTCAAAGAAAATTTACCCTCACTAAATTCATTAACTATATAATTCCTTAAAATTCACTTTTGCCTTTAAGCATCATCAAGAATGATGAATCCTACACTGTAAAAAACATTCTGTAAAATTTACGGTAAAAAACCGGCAGCTGTGGTTGCCGGAATATTACCGTTAAAAATACGGTAGCAACGTTTTAGGTTTTACGGTTTTAACTTAAATTTACAGTTAAATACTGTAATTTCATTAACTGATATAATGTTAATATACCAACCTATTGAAGTAACCATTTAACAGGTTTTTACTGTAGCATTTTTACAGTCTTTTACCGTTAAATTCACGGTCATTTTTTACAGTGTAGATCTATTTATGGTATCTCTCTCCTCACCTCTTTATTTTCTTCTCCCTTACCACGATGCACCTCCGTGCTGTATCACTGTACAAAGTCATTTGCATTACAAATTTGAACTGATTTGTTATTTGCTCATATGAATATTCCAGCCTAATGTTCTTTTCTCTGAAGCATGTGCCACCACATACGGTGGAGTAAGAGTCTTTATTATCCAAAACTCGAAGGAAATGGGTTTATTTTTGCAAAGTTATAATTGCACAGTTGGTCCCTTTTCTCAGGGCATTTGGAAAGCATTTGTTCATAGATTAGCATTGTCTGTTACTAAACAAAGGCTTGTATCACTTCTTAGGGCAACTCATAATTGTTACAGAGTGCTTATTCATGTTTTTACTAAAGCCTTAAAAGCCTCAGTATCATAATATCATTATAATTCAGTACTGATTTGTAAATGTAAAGGTGGATGTATAATCACATAACACATGATCAATTGGTCTTGGGAGGGAAAAAAAGAAAGACAAGCTTTGCTCTATACTCTTTTTAACTACACTCGTTTATAGCTGCATTTATACCCCCGACTGGGTATTTAAATCTGAAAGGACACCTTGATTGCATATTACCTTAAGTTATGAGAGTAGATGATTCATTAAGCAGCTTAGGCATGTGATTTCTTAAGTGTGCTCTTGTATATTGTCCCAGCAGCAGGTCTGGAGCACAGGCCTTCAGAAGACTGTCCACTGGGTCACTTTCCATGTGGCAATATGAGCATCTGTCTGCCACAGGTTCTGCACTGCAACGGCCAAAACGACTGTCCCAATGGAGCTGACGAGGACAACTGTGGTCAGAACTGTTTATAAATACAGACATCTCACATGTAGCTTATCTATATTTATTGCATCATTTCTGATTGATATGTAACATTATGATGAATATGTATAGAGGCTAGTTGTCACGCAAAGATGTCACAAGGGCTATATCTTAGTAACTATAAAGTATCATTCAAATGTTCTCTCTGACAGTTTCAAACACCTTTCAAATTCTTAAATTACTCTTTAATGTCTTAATAATGAAATGACATTGTTTTGTGAATTGTATCTTCCAAATTTAAAAATAGAATTAAATAAATAAAATGTTTATTTATATAATTGAAAAAATATTGGGTTTTGACATAACTATATTAATATTGGCAGTTTGGTGGCAATATGTGTCACACAAGTTTTATAAGTCATAAAAATGTATAAAGTTTATTAAAGACAATATTTGTTGGCCAAAACAATATTTTGCTCTTTCATTAATTTTGTGTTTGGCAGATAGATAGACTGATAGACAGACAGATAGATAGATAGATAGATAGATAGATAGATAGATAGATAGATAGTTTTCAGATGTCAGGTCAGGACAATATGTGTCACACAAGTTTTAGAAGTATAACATTTATATAAATACAAAACATGATTTGATAATTTTGTATTTCGTTCTTTCATGAATTGTTTTTCAAAATTGTTTTGCTGTTTAAATTTTGCCTGTACTAGCAAAATTTAATTGCAGAAATGTCTATGTTTATATTAACATGAAGTGTTAACTTGTGTGTGTGTGTGTGTGTGTGTGTGTGTGTGTTTTGTGTGAATGTGTGCGTGTGCTTGTCCCATGTTGTCTCATGTCCATCTCTCTGAAGGAGATAACAGTGGCTGGGCAGATCTCTTCGACCGGACTTTTAAAAGGGTTTATCCACAAGATCTTGCTACAGTCTGCCGTAAAATTACACCTTATCCTGTCATTATCTCTTGAAAGTTTGCTGTCTCAGAAACACAGTTTAGACAGTCCAGGTCTAGACAGTGTGAAAACGGCTTGTACTAGTACAGACTGTATATCAAATGTATAGTGCAATATTTAATGTCACTTGCAATACAAGTTTATATTTAAGTTACAAGTTCAACTCATTTATTATCTGAAATGTAACATTTATTTCAAATGTATTTTAACACACTTGCAACGAAGTATAGTTCATTTTTAACTATATTTTGGTTGGCACTCCGCACAAACCTCCAACACATAGTTTTGGCAGTTTGCATTGCCAAAACGATAGAATCTGAATGTGTGTGTGTGTGTGTGTGTGTGTGTGTATGTCTGTCTCTCTTTACTGTCCTGCCTTGCAGAAGTGGAGCAGTACCCTGATCGCTGCCGGTGCATTAACACTGAGATCCACTGTGTGCATGTCAGCTTGAGATCCATTCCACAGGTGTCATCGAATGTTACCTCCCTGTACGCAGCCTTCCAATGCAAATTTGTGTTGTCAACATGCAGTTTACAAATGATAAATGTCTAATTGTTAAGATTCTGGGCTGAAGGATTAATTCAAATTAAAAGTGACCACGTAAAAAAACTCCGGGGCAGGTTTAGCACTGCTTTTTTGGTGCAGTCTGAATTATAATGTAACACTCAGCTGTTTAACAACAAACAACCAATCAGAAACTGAACTTAGCTTGCCTCGCTTTGCATACAGAAATGCTTCATTCATTCATTCTTTCAACATGAAACTATCAAAAGGGTGACGAAAGGTAATTGTGACTTTTTTCTCACAATTCAGATTTTTGTCTTGCAATTTGAAAAAACAAAAAACAAAACGATGTATAAACACGCAGAAAAAAGTCTGAATTGTGAGATAAAAAGTTGCAATTACCATTTGCTCCATGGTGAAAAAACAGTATCGTGAGATGTAAATTTAGAATCACAAGATACAAAGTCAGAATTGTGAGATGATATTGATATTGATGCCACAATATGCAAATGAGAATGTTCACCCAGGGTTTACAAATTACATGGGCCAACAATTAACCTTCAGTGCAATATGTTGCTTTAGACAAATGCTTTGGCTAAATAACAATTAAGTAGCAGTATATGCTGAAAAGAAATAAAGTCCAAAACAATTTTTTTTTCAGTTACATCTTAGTTTTGATTTTCTTTATATATATTTTTTAATGATTTTTTTTTGTTCATTTCACTTTGGAGTGTTTAATTGGCTGTTTGTGTTGTTTTTGGGCAGGTCGTTGAAGAGCAACAAGATTCGTGTGCTACCCGATGAGGCTTTCATCAAATTCATAAAACTACATAGGTTGTAAGTATGAATAAGCATTTCTTGAGCCTTTCTTTTGATCCAGACAAGCTCCTCTTTATCATTTCTGTCACATACAGTATATTATAACTGATTTCATAAAACCTGCCCAACATGGTGCAACTTTGGTATGCATTGACCTAAAGAGATGCTTTACTAAAGCCACAAATCAACTCGGGGGCTTGTATAATGGAGCTGTCAACCTGTACAGCTAATGGCACATTTATGTGGTACAAAAACAATTGGTTCCTGCATGGAGCTGATTAACATTTATGATCAGCTTTCTGCTGAATCCCCTGAAGCTTTTATGATGAGGCCATGGTCACCTTCATTTAAATTGAGCTTGTGCTGCTTGTTAATCTCAGTATTGGCAGGTTTCTTTTTAGCTTGCCATTAAACCTTGGATTCTATGTGATGCTGTCTGGTGATTAACGAGACAATTAAAGAGCTAGCAGATCTGCTTTCTAGTACAAACTGATATGAACACAAGTAAGGCAACAAGCACTTACAGTGTGTTATTTATTTTAGGACAAAAGTGTTACACCAATGGAGAGTAATGCTAATTGACATAAGAGTTTATCCTTTTTTCAAATTATTTTCTTGAAAGAATAAACAAGTCATTTTAAAAATATCTGTCAAGTCATTTTGCCTCCCTTTTGAATGTTTGAATGGAATATACAGTACTGTACACTTCCATTCAAAAGTTTGTGGTCTGTAAGATTTTTTAATGTTTCCAAAGGAAGCCGCTCACAAGGCTGCATTTATTTGATGAAAATGGATTTATTCATGATTTATTTATTAAAAATTAATTTATCTAGCAGCCATTACATTATAAGAATCATAATCAGATAAGCTGATTTATACTGATTATCAATGTTGAAAACAGTTTTATGAAACTGCTTAATTTTTTTGTGGAAAATGTAATGCATTTTCAGGATTATTAATGAAGAAAATATATATATAAAAAAACAGCATTTATTTGAAATAGATTTTTTGTAACAATTTAAAAGTCTCTGCTTTTTATCACTTAAATGTATCTTTGCTTAATAAAAGTTTTTATTTATTTATTTATTTTATTTTATTTTTTTAAATCTTACTAACCTCAGTTTTATAAATGGTAGTATACTTATATTTACCTTTTTTTTTTTTTTGAGGAAGTGAATATGCAATACCAGGTGTATTAAGTCATTAACATTTTCATAAATACACCAAACTGGAACTGGGAACACCACTGTGTGACATTAAGATTCATTTTCAAGTAATTTCAAGCTGTTGTCTGATTGTTAAACTGAGACAAGCTGGGACGTTTCAGTGCATTCAAACCTTGAGATGGCTTGGCATTAAATCAAACATGAGAAGTCAGTCATTGTGGTGTTTTTTAGTGTATTATTTGAAAGAATGTGCATTTGTATTTCTGTGTTAAGGAGAAAAGATAGTTTATCGTATTTATTTCATGCTGCGTCTCAGAAAAGGAACTGAGAGTAGAATTTTACCATTAAAGAAGTTTATCCTGTAGCCCCACTTCAATGTTTAGGTTCTTTTTCATATAGATTCATTAATTCTCCTCCTCATGAAAATCGATTTCATGAATAATTATCAATGACCCACTCCTAATATTTTCATAATTTAAAGTCCTTATTAAATATTTAATGTTATATAACCCAGAAAACACTTTATTTTCTGTATGGAGCCACAGCAGAAACACTGTCAGAGTGAAAACACAACGTACTGCTGCAGTGACAAGGATGCCCACATACCACAGTCCTGAGGCATTCATTTGAGCTGATTAAGCACCTCTTATATTCAAATATTTATTCATTCTTAGATGAATGTTTGGTTGGGTACCTTTAGTTTTGGATACAGTACTTCAGATACTCAAAGGATGACATGACTAATAGAATCGTAGACAAAATAACTGAGGTTCATGTGATCTGTTTGGCGCCAGGCCATCATTCTTCTGACATTATTTGAGTTTTCTGTTACACGCCTGTGCAAAAGGCTTCAACATGATACAAGGGTAGTGTAAGTGGTTTCAGAGTTGAAGGTGTTCTGAAAAGCATGTTGCTTGGTGGTTTCTTGATGGTTGCAAAGGTGTTCTGTGTGGTTGTTTTTGGCCCAAGTCAAAAAGTCTAAGTCTAATATAATAATGATGATGATATTTTAGTCTGTAGATATGGCTCGGGTCCTGATATTTTATCAGCTTTGTAAACCTGTTTAACACAACAACCTGTTGACCAAACTGATGATTGTTTTATTTTCTCCCTCAGGTTTCTCCAGGATAATTACATTAGTACTGTTTCCATTCATGCTTTTAGTGGTCTATATAAGCTGCAAAAACTGTAAGTGCATATTTTATATAATACAATTTTTTAATTAAACATGAATACATTAACCTTTTTTTTTTTTTGTCATTGTTAAAACATCCCATAAACATATTCTGAGAAAAGCATAATGCACACTGATAGCATGATGCCTTGGCTTCAAATGTCAAACGCTGGATTTGAAATGAGTTCAGACAGTGTTCCTGACCTTTATCTAATACAGTATAATGGAAGATATAGGAAAAGAAAAAGCATGAATGACCAATTGTATTTGCTTGATCTTGTGTTGTAGATCTTTGAGCCAGAACTGCATCTCCTTGCTTTCTCCTGGAGTGTTCAGTGATCTTCATAAACTCAAGTGGTTGTGAGTACAGCCATCAGCACATCAACAAGCTGTAAATGCTGTTCTTATATGAAAAATGATCTTAAAATTGCCATCATCCAAAGTCAAGATAAATACATCAGTCATAGAGTCTATATCTATAATATGTTGAAACAGCGGTAGATGTCAGTTCTTAAATGTAATTTTTGTGCATGTATTAAAAGATTAGATTAAAAAAATTGTAGTATATACTCCCATTCAAAAGTTTGTGATTGGTGAGACTTTTTAAACCTTTTTATAAGTCTCTTATGCTCACCCAGTCTGAATTTATTTGATGGGGGAAAAAAATAGTATTACAATTTAAAATAACTGTTTTCTATTTTAAAATGTAATTTATTCCTGTGATGGCAAAGCTGAATTTTTAGTCTTTGTTGCCACATGGTCCTTTAGAAATCATTTCAGTATGTTGATTTTGGGCTCAAATCAGCATATTATTAATGTTGAAAATAGTTCAATTTTTCCCCAGAAAGTGAAAAAAAAAAACTAAATTTATTTGAAATCATTTGTAACATTATACATGACTTTACTGTAACTTTTGATCAATTTTTACATCCTTGCTGAATAAAAGTATTTATTTCTTTAAAAACCTTTAACCAAACTTTTAAACAGTAGCGTAGCTGTACTGAATCCATGGGTTGTCAAGGTGAATTAAGGAAAGACAGCAAAACTCATCCAATTGTCCATTATTTTGGCTGGTGTTTTAGGGACATTTTGCATGTTTTGAAGTGTTATTTCTTCCTATTTAGGATTTTGGATGAAAATCCCATAACAACAATTACAGCCAACACATTTACTGGCCTGAGTTCCCTCTTCTTCCTGTGAGTCTTCATCAATCTTCAATTAGGAAGTTTTAGACTTTTGGAATATTGCTTGGATAAATAAAATATTTGCATTTTAACTGATTTAAGTCTGTGCACTGTAGTTGTAAATGTCTGTTTGAGGTGTCTGCTGACAGGTGATGATGTTCCGGCTCACCTCATCTAATCGTCTGTACAGGTCAATGGTGAACACCTTTCTAGAACAGCTTCCACCCGCCAGACTCTGCACACATATGCCCTTTCTCAGCTGGCTGTAAGCTTCTTTTCTACTTGATATAAATGTCACGCCTTGCTTGATTTTGAATTCAGTCAAGTTAGGAAGATGCTGGCAGTAGGCAACAGGGCAGCTCAGGTTTTTGGAACAGAGCTACAATATACTGGTGTACTCAGAAACTGCCTGCTATTCTTTACTCATCAAAAATTGATATCTCACAAGACATTAGAGTTACCCACTGTCTTTAAGCTTGATTAAACAATTGAGCTCCCTGTGGTGCACTTGTACCAGTCATGTCACGAGTACTGTCTTTGCGCAAAGTGCATGGGTCTCATATTCACACACAAAAAAAGCCCAGACTGACATTATAGTGACATATTTAAAATATCTCTTGAACTTGTTCCTGTAATTTGTTTCACCCAGGCAGCAAGTGTTTGAGAGTGAAACTAAAGTAACTGGAGAAACATTCAGGAGTTACTAAAGGGCTTGTCCCAATAATGCACTATATTACATAATTCAGAAGGTTGGGTGTTTTGAACCTCTGAAGTCGCAGGATAATCCTATTTAACAGCCTTTGCTAGGTATACTTAGGTAAAAGTCAAGTTGTATATATATATATGTATGTGTGTGTGTGTGTGTGTGTGTGTATGTGTGTTTGTGTTTATTATCAATAATTTATTCATTCATTCATTTGTTTTGCTGATCAACTATTGAAATTATAGTTAGGAGAGTATATGCTACAGATTTTACGGTATATTATAAAAATATTTATACCTTAAAATCAAACACGATGAACCTTAGTAAAATCCTGTTGTGCATAGTGTACATCTTTAGCATTTTTTTTCTTTCAGCATTAGTGATTAGTGTTTTTTTGACTTGGCACTTTTCAGATTGCAGACAGGTTTGAATGCTACCAGGTGCTCATCTTTCTTTATAGCATCTCTGTAGTACAAGAACAGTATGTTCTCTGTTGCTAATGCACTGTTATTCTCTCTTTGGCCAAGGCATTCGTCACTGACAGCCAAGAGCAACAGAATATGAGTTGCATTTCACTGATAAGCCGATGCATTTCTATGAGTGAAACCAAATTGTCTTAGACCTTCAGCTGTCATGTTACCTTTTAATATCATGTATATATTAAGTACATGTCAGTTTGCTTGTATTATATTTACTGAAATGTTGTATGTCCAGCAGTTTTTTTTGCATTGTGAATGTTTATTCATCAGTACACTTTAACATGCTCTTTTAAAGGGATTTCGAGGGAAACTGTATTAAAACTTTGGGCTTGTCAACTTTACTCGGTTGTGAACCTCTGACTGTGCTGTGAGTATTAGTATTATAAGTATTCATATTTTTTGAGCTGAAGCTAATTATACCATCTGTATGATAGGCTTTAAAGTTAGAAGTCAACATTTCACTAGAATGTAATTTAAATGTATAGATGATTAATACATAGTTTAAATGATTCTATTTTGCTTTCTTTTCAAATGTAACAGCATTTTTCTGTACAAATTATATTATCAGCATAATTTGAATATTTTATTTCAGAATTGTGGTTCCCACTTTGTTTTAACTTATATTTTCTCTGATCCAAATAATTCAGAATTAAAAACTCAAAGAGCATGTTTTTGTAGCCAGTGTTATTTTAATATCATTAAGATACTATTATAGTTTTTATTAATATTTTAAATGTTTTTTTAATTTTCATGTTAAATCATAGTTAAAGTTTTAGTAATTTTGTTGTGTGATTTTGTCTTTTTTTTTAGTTTTTTAAAAGTCTATATAGTTTTTATTATTTTTTATTTCAGTTTTAGTTTTAGCTATTTTAGTACTTAAATGACTTAAAAATATTGTCTTGGCAACTAGCTGAAATAAAAATAAGTGCAGTTTATTTCAGTTAACCTTTATTATATTTCAAGCAATTATTTAAGGATTTTATTTATTTATTTTTAAGTTAACTATAATAACCCTAAGACGCTTGTCCACCAAAGCGTTTTAAAATAAGGCTAGCTTATTTTTTCTGTTGTTTTCAATGGGACGCCACACTTTTTAAAATGCCAGGAGCATGACGAGGCGCTGAGTGTTGTTCTCACGTTTTTTTTTCTCAGCACCGAGAGTTGAAGATTGTTCAATTTTGGTTAAAACACAGCGCTCATCACTGTCACTTTTTAGTCAGCTAACCAATCACAGTGGATGAGGGGCGGTACTAACACCACACCGACCAAACGTCACACCCTGCTTCTTCTAAGACTGAACAACAATGGAGAAGTTAATATTGCTTGTCTCCGAGTATTCATGTCTTTACCAGATGGAATTTCCGGACTACCACAATATTGTTATGAACAATAATGCTTGGAGAAACCTTTCATTCACAATGTGTCTGGGTAGATTACTTACAAATTGTAATCCGTTACTGATTCCAAATTACATGACAAAAATGTTAGTAACGTAATCCATTACATTACACATTTTAGGTGATATAATCAGACTACTTTTAGATTACTTTGGATTCCTTTTGACCTAACTCGTTTATCACATTGATTTGAATAGGATAATTGTGTACCATATCGATATAAAAATGCATAGGAAAAGAAAATATATTCAATTTGTTGTTATTGACAACATGAAGTACATTAAACATTACCAAGGTTTCCCAAACTAGGGTTCATAAAGGTTTAATTAAAAGCGAATAATTAATTAAATCATAAAAATGTAAAATTAAAACAAATTATTTTTAAATAACATCAATCAAAATAAAACACTTACTAAAAAATGTTTTTTTTATTTGTTTACCTGCATGTCATGTGACCATTAACCGTGAAAGTGCAAATGTGATACTTAATTATTAAAATATTTATTTTAAAATCTCAGGGGTACTTTAAGTAATTATAGTAGGTGAAAGAGGTTCGGCTGACAAAAAAAGTTTGGGAATCCCTGTATTACATGTAAATAAGAAATAACGTGAATATGTGCATTTTAATGAGGTTGTAAGACAAAGGCCTTCCAAAGACAAAGTAATACATGATTAATTAACCTTCTGTGTGATAATTCAAATAAAAATGTACGTGTTCATCAGTAGTTGATGTAATGTTGAAATGCTAAGAAAACACTTATTAAAACTGAAATGTTTTTGTAAATCCAGTGGTCAAATGCTGCGCCACAGAAGCACTCTCAAACGCACTCATAGTTAGGCGTTTTCAGCAGAGCACCTGACATTTTCACCTGGTTAAAAACGCTTTGGTGGACACACGGCTTAATTGTTGCATATAAGAAAAAAATAAAACTAATTCTCCCTCTTTACCTTGAAAGTCCGTTTCTGTACTTTTGGTCTCCAGCTGATAATGGACGGTTTAAAAAATGGAAACAATTACAGAGCTCCAAATCAGGACCCTCTCGATGTGGTTTATGGTCCTTAGTCTTCCCACCCTTGCTGTCTTCTAGGTCATTGAGAGCCAACCTCATCAAGAGTCTGCCAGAGAACACCTTCCAGTCTCTGCGTATGATGGAAGACCTGTAAGTGAAGATGAAGCATTGCTGTGAATGAGTGTGTGCATGGAAACAAAGGCGTTAGTAAGTTATTAGTGAGTTTAATTTGACATGTCCTTTTCGCTTTTGCAGGGATCTGTCCAGTAACTTGATAAAGGAACTTCCAGTCAGTATATTCAAGGATTTACCCTCATTGCAGATTCTGTGAGTAATAGTGGTCAGATGAATAAAAATATTTGAAATTGTATTTAATAAAGAAAAAAAATATATATATAATTGTGCTGCTGTCTGTAAGTACACTTCATTATTAAGTGTAACTGTTGCATTGAGTTTCACCATAAAATGGCCTGCTGTGTTTTCTCATTTGTAGGAATCTGTCCCAAAACCCACTGGACCACATCCACCCAGGCCAGTTTAACCACCTAATTCAGCTCCAGTCTCTGTAAGTAACAGCATTATCTGAGGTTTTCATGAGATTTTCAACAATAAATGTTAAAAAAATGTAATATGCTGTAGTGACCACACAACAAAGGTAGTTTTCCAAATGAAATGAGTCTCACATGGAGCTGAGTTAGTGTTTGTGGACTTGTTTCGGGCTGCAGTGCAGATTGGCAAAAAAACAAGCAAACAAACAACAGACCAGGCTGTGTGCCAGAATCTGAAATTCTAGTAATCACTGAGGCTCAGAGCTTGTAGATGCTGAGCGGATGGAGGGCAGCGGAATAACCGAAGGCTCTTGGTAAAGGATTTAATAATAAAGCTTGAATACTCTGTTTCTGCAGGGGCCTGGAGGGAGTGGAGATCCCAAATATCCAGACAAGCATGTTCCGCCCCATGTATAACCTCTCCTACGTGTGAATATCTCATTCTGCTTTCATTGAGTTTGAAATATAATTAGTCCTCTAATTTGTAGTGATATGTTCATGTGCTATTTTGTGCTGTTATGTGCTAGTTTTTGCACATTTCTTATATACACCACATATCATAAAAAGTGGTAATTTATAAGTCTGTGATGTTTGACAAAATATAAAAATGTAATATAATAATTATTTTTAAACTATAAACTATTATATATAATATAATATAAAAAATGTAATATATACTTTAAAAATATACAGTGGGTACGGAAAGTATTCAGACCCCCTTCAATTTTTCACTCTGTTATATTGCAGCCATTTGCTAAAATCATTTAAGTTATTTTTTTTTCCTCATTAATGTACACACAGCACCCCATATTGACAGAAAAACACAGAATCGTTGACATTTTTGCAGATTTATTAAATATAAAAAATAATAAAATAATAAAAAATATATTACAATAAATATATAAAAGTAAATGGGAAATATTTTGCCTGCAGAATGGTGATTTACCAGCAGGGTTTAAAAAAAGTATTAAATAACTTAAGTATTCATTAAATATTCATTTTAAATATTTACATTTTTCTCAGATATTTTAAGAAGTTCCAGTACTGCTCTTATGCCCCACATGTCCGAAAGTGTAAACCGAAATCAGACGGACTCTCGTCTTTTGAAGATCTGCTTGCTAATGTGGTTCTTCGTGTGTCCGTGTGGGTCATGGCTTTTATCACCTGCTTTGGAAACCTCTTTGTCATCGGGATGCGGACAGTCCTGCGGGCTGAGAACAACCTGCATGCTCTCTGCATCAAGGTTTTGTGCTGTGAGTACCAGAGGTATCCATTTGACCTACTCCCACATTATATTAAACGCTAAATATTTTTTATATGAGTTAAAAGCACACATACATACATCTGTTTTTGGGTTTATTTCTACTATAACTGGCTGACTGTTATGAAACCAATGTGACGCAAACAGAAGCAGCTGGCACTCCTGGAAACAAGCCCTTTTCTAGGGCACAGAGTGCTCAATTATAAGTGTTCTAGCACCCATAATGTTCTCTCAATTATGTCGAGGATTACATATAGCAAGCTATATCTCAATTATCCATTTACTTTAAAGGGGACATCGGATGCCCATTTTCCATAAGTTGGTATGATTCTTTATATACTTTGGTTAAAATTCCTCAATGATTGTGTAAAACAACACCCTTTTTAACTTGTCAAAACCAGCTCTGTTCACAGTGACCCGTTTCGTTACATGTCTCTTTAAATGATAATGAGCTACATTCCACCCCTCTCTTCCATTTTTTTGTGTATTTGGTGGCACATTACCATCAAAAACAAAACTGATCTACTGCATCCTCAGTGGCTCTGATGTTGGGAGAAAATGAAGACTCTTATGTTCACTTTTACATCCAACTACAAAACACCTGCATTGCTCACGAGACATTGCTGTCGCTACAGCTGCTTGAGCGCGGAGAAAATGACGGACAGCGTACAACTGGCTGAGGGTGGAAATATGCTAATACGGGACAGTCCGTCAGCGGTTGTGGGCGGGCCTGAGCAGTATGACGTCATACTGCTCAGAAAATCAAAACAGCTTGATAATTGAGACCGTTTAGGTTTTTTGGGGATTCAAAAAAATGGATTTTTATTATTGTAGGCTGGTTGTGTCCACACACTGCTAAGACATTTATATGCAAACACCTTGTAAAAGTGAATTTTTACTCCGATGTCCCATTTAAAAAATTATGTGGGCTTCGTCGAAGAACTCTCCCTCCCCTTATGCTTTCAGCAATCAGATACTTGCAACAGCAGTTGACAATATTATTTCGTTCTGGAAGAGCATGTCTGAGATATTTGAAAACCAGGTCCTCTTGCTGTCAGTCCCCTTTAACCAAAGAGTCTCCCTGTTGACAGTCTCCTGCCTGACATTCAGCTTGAAAGGCTGTCGTGATTGGACGGGAAATCTATAACCTTGTAACAATTCTATTCGCACAGGACTCGTTCTCTATCAAATCTAACTCTTGCTGGAGTTCTTGAGCTGGTTTCATTAATCCCTGTTTGTCATGGGAAACACTTCCATTTTAGCCTGCAATGTCAGTACCACTTGTGCTTTGGTCACAAACCTGTGCTATGCCTCATAAAATTGATTTCTGGCCTGCTGGTGTTGTGATTTGTCTTTAAAAAATAACATTTTATATGTGCAGGAAAAGCGCCAACATTCTGGCGCAAGACCAAATTATAAATCAGAGGCTTTTAGGAAGCTACTTGTTCATTAATGAGTTCTACTTCTGGCATCCAGTGAGTAATAGCTATTTACCACAATGCTTCATTTGTCCCTAGGTGCAGATTGCCTGATGGGGGTCTATCTTTTTTTTGTGGGGGTCTTTGATGTGAAGTTCCGTGGCGAGTACAACAAGAATGCTAAGCTGTGGATGGACAGCCTGGAGTGTCGTATCATCGGCTTCCTGGCTATGCTGTCCTCTGAGGTTTCCGTCATGATGCTCACTTATTTGACCATGGAGAAGTTCCTAGTCATTGTTTTTCCTTTCAGCCACCTGCGACCGAGCAAATGCCAAACATTCACCGTTTTAACCTCTATATGGCTGCTGGGTATCTCTATAGCTGCAGTGCCTCTGCTTAATGAGGAGATGTTTGGGAATTATTACGGACACAATGGAGTGTGTTTCCCTCTTCACTCTGAAGGTCTGGAAAAGCCCATTGCAAAGGGATATTCCATTGGAATTTTTCTTGGTGAGTTCTGCCATTGGTGAAAAACATGATGCATAATAGATATTTTTGATCTTTTGTAATAAAGAGTTATTGCAGTCCAGATCTCCAATCCCTTTCCCAGTACACAAAGACCATTCATTACATCTAAGCTGCAAAAATGTGAAGTCACATCCTCAAGCTTAATAACATATGACCGCCACATCTATTGGACTGACTGATTTTTTTTAAAGAATTTGCTGCTGTAAAGGTTTAAGGTCAGTGAGAATTTAACATTTTCTTGAAATAAGTCATATATACTCATCGAGACTGCATTTATTTGATCAAAAATACAGTAAACATGTCAAACATTTTTTACAATTTAATATACAGTAACTGTTTTCTATTTAAATATAAATTAAAATATTTATTATTAATTATTAATTTGATGGCAAAGCTACATTTTCAGCAGTCATTACTCCAGCCTTCAGTGTCACATGATCCTTCAAAAACCATTCTAATATTCTGATTTGGTGTTCAGAAAACATTTTCTCTTATTATCAATGTTGAAAGTTGTGGAATATACAGTATATTATACTGTATGGAAACTGTGACACATTTTTTTTCAGTATTGTTCGATGAATAGAAAGAACAGCATTTATTTGAAAAAAAAAAAACTTTGGTAAAATTAAATGTCTTTATTCTCATTTTTGATAATTTTAATAAAAGTATTCATTTCTTATTATTCAAAAATCTTGCTGACCCCAAACTTTTGAATAGTAGTGTATTTCACTACACTTTTTTTTTTTTAAATGATTACTCATTATGTACGCATAGAAATTAGCCAATCATAACAAATGTCATTGACATATTCTTGGTGATATAGTATGCAAAAACCACCTGTTTCATTCTAAGGGTCAGAAACAGGGTGGTATATGTCATGTAAAACTAAATGATGACTAGTTTAAAACTAAATATATTCTTGTTTTGATACTGTAAACTTTGACTAACAAATGTGGAGAAAACTAAAATATATTTTTTTTTAAACTATGGAATATGGCCACTTTAAAACTTAGAAATGCTGTCTCAACCTCAATATTCTGAAGAAAATCTGTCTTGTGTTTGTGCCACATATTGTTAATTGCTACTGATGACACTCGGTTATTCACGACACCAACCATACTGAACTTATGAAAGCTATTTTCCAGTACATTAAGCCGTATGCTTAGCGGCACACTTAAGAAACCTCTTAGTCACAGTACAGAGATGGCCTTGATCTGTTTTCATTATGTTTTGTGCTGTTGTTCAATCGGAGTTTTATGTTTATACTTGTAGGACTTAACCTGGTGGCCTTCCTCATCATTGGCGTGTCCTACTCCAGCATGTTTTACTCCATCTATAAGACTGGCATCAATGCCACAGAGCTGCGTGGACGGCTGCACAGGGATGTGGCAATGGCACACCGCTTTTTCTTCGTCGTGTTCTCTGACGCCCTCTGCTGGATTCCCATTTTCCTGGTCAAAATCCTCTCCCTGCTGGAAGTTGAGATACCAGGTTAGTTGGTCCTAAAGCTACATGAAAGATTTCAAATAAAACAATTAATGCACTATATATTTTACTTAAGGAAAATCTCTTTTATATTTTATGTCTCTCTCAGGGACAATCACGTCTTGGGTAGTGATCTTTGTCCTCCCCATCAACAGTGCCTTGAATCCCATCCTGTACACTCTGACCACCAGTTTCTTCAGAGAGCAGGTGGAACTTTTAAGGTGTCATTGGCATAGACAGCCAAGACTCAGACAGGACCGCAAAAGCCTCACCAGCTCTGTTATCCACACGGACCCCTCAAGGTCTTCTTTCTACCATCACAGCTACAACCCACAGACCAGAGCCGATCCTCCCTATACGCAAAATACGCAAGTTGCGTAGGGCCCCCGAAACACCAGGGGGCTCCCTTGCTCTCAAAGATGATTTCATTTTAGTTTCGTTTTTGAATTTGACCAGCGGTTATGAAAACATGAATGATCATTTCTTTTAATGCGGTGCGCTGTCGCCCTTGCTACGTAAAAATCAGTCAAATCACGTAATGTGAATGTCGTACAGTCTTGCTCGAGACTAAAAAAACGAGTTGAAAGCGTACCGAGCCGTGGAAAAGACACTGTTTCTCAAGCACTTTCCGCGAGCACAATAAGAAACGGAGTGAAACACGGACAAATGCGTTTCATTCATTCGTTCATAACCACTCATACCCTACTCAACCAACCCTCCCGCCGACACAGTTTTGTGTAGGGCCCCCAGAATTCTAGGATCGGCACTGCCACAGACATCTATCTTAGACGTAGATGGCAGGTATAGGTGAAGATGTTCTATATTATGGAAGTTGCATTTGTCTGTAGTGGATCTACAGAGTTTTTGGAGTGCTAGAGCACAATGACAATATCTTGGTAGAGCCTCTTCACTGATGAATAATCGTGGATTGTGAGCAGATGCTATAATGAAGGCCTACAATTAGATATCTAAAGATATTATGGTTGGACAATAATAAAAAAGCATTAAGATTAAACATAAAGTGCAAGATATCCTGACACTGTGCTCTCACATTACATCATAAAAGGCGTTTAAAATGGCTGAATCTGTTATAAACTTGCTAGTCCATTTCAGATCATAAACTGATCTGTTTGGTGAGATGTGTCTTAAGACACAATTGTCAATTGACAGAGGTTTGGTTGACTTTTAAACTGCAACAGCCAACAGTGGGAATATATTTGTATTTTGCATATGTATATGTTGAGTTATTCCTTTTTTATATTGTAAATGTGTATTAAGTGACAAAAAAAGACAAATCCCAACAAATGTTGCATGTTGTTTTCTCTGGAAAAAAATATTACATTTGAATTATTTGACATTTGTTTCTGCATAATAAAAATATATATTGCAAATATAAATGCTTTACTACTGTTTTACTTGGAGTAGTAAATATGAAAAATTGAGCTGGACTTAATAACATCCTACATTTATTCAATCATGACATTCCTCAGCAATGTTTGCCATTATAAAGACTGTATTAATCACGAGTATAAACCACAAGTCAGTCGACTTGGCGACCATCTTGGTCAAGCCACCGGAAGCTATTCAAGCGCATCTCTAAACTCTTTGAACAGAAAACGAGCGAAACCTCCAAAACCGTTTGTCAATGTTACGTTTACATACCATATTTCAACATTCCCCTACCCCTACACCCCTACATAAGAGTAGGGGTATAACCCCGGCATCCTGGCCAAATTTGCCCATTGGCCTCTGACCCTCATGGCCTCCTAATCATCCCCATACACTGACTGGCTTCATCACTCTGTCTCCTCTCCACCTATAAGCTGGTGTGTGGTGGGCGTTCTGGCGCAATATGGCTGCCGTCGCATCATCCAGGTGAATGCTGCACGCTGGTGGTGGACGAGGAGATTCCCCCCCTTTCATGTAAAGCACTTTGAGTACCCAGAAAAGCGCTATATAAATGTAACGAATTATTATTATTAATTATTATACCATATTTGAACTGTTTTTGTTGTGATAGCTTAAATTACACAACATTTTTTTTCATGTTTTTACATGTGCATTCAAGAGTAAACAAACAGGTGCGTTGTCCAAAAAACAACAACAAGAAAAAAACTACTCTGGTCTATTTTTTTAATTGATTTTAATATTTTTTTTTTTGTATGAAAACCGCAGTTGTTCATGGCAACATACACTTAATTTTTTCTGTATCGCTCAATGATTTCGTTTTTTTCATACCAACCCGAGAACGGTTAAGTGGCACCATCTTGTGAGTTATAATCGAAACGATTATAGCATAAAACTTTTATATAGAGAAAACAGAAACCGCTCACACAGATATTTTAAGAGAGACATTGAAAAATTGAGAAAGGCATGGCAAAATGTATTAAATATGTTATTTGATAGTCCACCCTGCTGTAAACAAACAAACAAACAAAAAAACCCCAGCTAAAACCAGCCTAAGCTGGTCTTAGCTGGTTTAAGCTGGAAGTAGCTGGTTTAGCTATCTCAGCCTGGGCAAGCTGGTTTTAGCTGGTTGGCCAGCTGGTCTCCCAGCCTGACCAGCTAAAGTACTGGTCAAAACCCCTCTAAAACCAGACTGCTGAACAGCTATAACCAAGCTGGACGACCAGCTAAAATCAGCTTTGCGCAAAGCAAGCTGAGTTACATTATTATTAATAATAATTAATGTTTATCTTATTGCTTGGCAAAATTCACATTGTGGTTGACATGTCACAATAATCAACATATTTAAGCTCATCAACATTTAGTGTCTAAGCATTTGTTGTTAAATAGGCGTGTAATAAGTGGTATAATGTGTAGTCATTATATAAAAATAAACACCTTCAGGTTTGGACAAGTGTTTATTTTTCTACATTTAACGGCTGACTGGACATAATGCATGCATGATTTAACACAATAACTTGTAACTATTACATTTTGGCTTTATGGTTGTCCAGTAAAGACACACACTGACTGACAAGCAGAAAATACAAGTAAAACGCTAGTTTGAGGGCACCGATGGGAGTGGCTTAACAAATGGGAGGGGGTTACGTCTTCTCTCTATTTGTTTGATTGACAGTCGTAACGAGGCAGAGGCGCTGCATACCTCGAGGCAAGTGCGAGAATTTACCTCAGCCGCAGCAACTTTAGGATGGAGCAATAGTCGAGAAAACTCGTCTCCTCACAGGTACGTCTATTCGTTTACATCGGAGACTGTCATTTGGAGCGGTTTAATCTGTCACCTCTGTAAATCCACACTTTGGATAAAATATTCATCACTCGAACCCTATCCTTCACATTTCCTGAGCTCCGTTCCCCGAAATTGTTCTGTTCTGCATGAAGGCTTATAACAGAAGTTTATTATGGCCGTGGGAAATGATGCGTGATGATGAGGCTTGGAACATGTTGCGCATGTTTTTATTTTGGGATAAATTGAGTCGCATCGAACACTGACGTCTTTCTCATGTTATACTTTTGAGGAAGAATGCAACTATTAACGTTTTATCAGAATAATATACTAGTAATTTGCATTCTGTAATGGACCTAACCGTTATTCGCAGGTTTCTAGGACTACTACATTTGTCCTACCGAAGTAATATATCTGTTTTTCTTTTTTTAATTGCCTCTTGTTAGGGAATAGATCAGAATGAAGAATATGGACGTACTCTGATGCTTTTAATATGTGCACTATTTCCTGTTAAATAAATAAATAAATACAAAGCCACCATACAGTAGCCTATGTAGGCGTAGCTACATTTATGTAAATGAGCCTGCTATGGGAATGCCAAACCTTATTATGTAAGTTCATTTAAAAAAGAAGTTACATAAATATAAATAAATATAAAAGACTGCTGATTTGTTTTAAATATGTTTAAAGTGCAAGTAACTATAGGCCTATGTGAAATATTAAAATGGTTTCCAGTATTTTGTAAAGTGAGAATATGAATATAAAAGACTGCTGTTTGTAAAATATTACTAATAATTTAGGTTATCACCTAGAATGATCTAGAAATCAGTGTATACGGACACCTTTTAGGTTTCTTGGTAAAGCTGCTTGTATGGAACTGCAAATTTGTTGGTGTACATTTATGTAAATGAGGTCATGCTGCTGGTGGGACTGATAAACCTTATTATGTAAAATGTAAACACTTTTTGTTTTAAATAGGTTTAAAGTGCAGTTTACAATGAGTGAACCATTAAAATGGTTTCCAGTATTTTGTAAAGTTTAGATATGAAGATAAAAGACAGCTGTTTGTGAAATATTACTTATTTCATGTAATATTAGCTTATGTAATATTATTACTTATTAGCTTATGACCTAGAATAATCTAGAAAGTGTGTATGCGAATACATTTCAGGTGTCTTGGTGAAGTGGCATGTTGGTGGCACCAGTTTGTTCACAATAATAATAACGATTCTTGGTGACCTTTATAACAAAATATAAGTGATTTGTTGTAACTCATTCTCTTTAGCTGTTATTCCAGAGTGTACTGAAACATTCTGACAGAACATTCTCAGACATCTCTTTGAAGAACATCCTACAGAAGCTTGTTTCTCTGGCAACCGTGCTACACTACTATAAATATGTGCGTAGGTGGGAGCTTTATGATCTGGTATTATTTACCTAGTCATGTTCCTTTCCTATTTCTTTAATGTTCTTCATGTTCATCCGCCAACACATATTTCCCTTGCGTTTCATCTGAAGGTGCATGTAAATATCATCTAATTAGCCTGTATCGCGTTCGCTTGCAGTTCAATTATGACTTGGCATGAACGTTGCCATTCAAACACCAACGTCTTCATGTGTCACTTGAGACAGAGGGTGTCTTTTGTGAGTGTCAAACGCTTGATTGTTGAACCTGAGCCAACGGCTGATTTCCTTTTCCCATCTTGAAGGCTGAACAATGAACGTTTGTGTGAGTGTCGATGCTGGCCATAGAAAAAGATCAGAATCACCTGGCTGTAACCAGATATGAGCAGTGTCAGTGGCACCGGTTCTTTGCAATGCATAGGGTGATGAGATGTAAGCTCCGCCCATTAGGAGTATTTGATCTGTCTGATTGGATGTAAGACATTAGCCATACCTCTGTTTGCTAACAGGCGAGCAGTTAGAGGGACAGGTGCAGGGTGAGGACCCAGATGCCCTGAAAGACCCCATTATCAGTGGAGCGGAAAGAACCGGTACTTTTATACAGCAACCACCGGCCTCAACCCTGAGAATGCTGCATTCATAGGCATCAGCTTTGCTTTATATTGTTTTTGTATTATTTATTATTATAAATGAACATTTATTATAGTATTAAATGTTATTTGTGCTACAGACATGAACAATACCTTAAATTTTGAGGCTTTTTAAGGAGAAGAATTTTAAGTGATCTGGATTATGATTTTTTGCTTGGTGGATAAAAAAAAAAAGACAGACTGGTAAGACTTGGCCATATATAAGAATCCGAATATCAGAAAGATAGAAATTGTTATAGAATATAGAAAGATAGAAATTGTTATAGAATATAGAAATTGTTTTGTTAATTGAAATAAAACTGGAATAAAATATAAATATTAGATGAAAAACTTAAACTTAAAAACCCTAAATGAAAATTAGAAATGACAACTAACTGAAATAAAATAAGTTTGAGCTGAAGTACTACAATTACTAAAACTACATTTGAAATAAAAAAAATGAAAGCTAAATAGAAATGTTAAAAAAACAAAAAATTGACAAAAACATAACAAAATTAATCAAATTTAAATTAATAATAATATAAGCTAATTCAAAATATTAATAAATACTGTAATAGTATATAAATAATTCTAAAACAACACTGCTAAAGACCACAAAGCAATCAGCTAAAAATCAATCGGAAAATACGAGTAACTCTATAGCAATGCATAAAATCAAGCAAATACACAAATCTAATAAAAATGGAATTTTATTTCAGAAGCAGGGGCTACATTTAATTTTTTAATTTTTTAAAAGAAATTATTTATTTCAGTATGGACTTCTAAAACATCTAAATGGCATCCTAAAACACCCAAGACATGCTCAAGGCAAGGTTACTAAGCATAAAGCACGAGTTAGATTGAGCTTGATTTGGGTTGATCTGGGTTTGTGTGTTGTGATGAGGAGCAGGAATATGTCTCTCAGTTTGGTCGGAGACTCTGAGCTCCAGATGGCAGCTGAAGCACTTTGACTGGACGTACATGAGATCAGGCTGAAAGAGCTGCTTTGATGAGTCACATGATATGTTCTCACCATCTCCAGGCATTAAACTACTGGTTCAAAACTATTTGAAATGCTTTCTGTGCTTCCCTCTTAATGGCTATTTGCTGCCGCTTTTCCCAAAAATAATTTGAGGAATTGATCTTCTAGTTGAACTAAAGCGCTCTAAACTCAATATGCACAGATGCTCCAAAATGTTTGCACTTGTGCAAATGATTGAGAAATAACATGTTAAGTGGGTCAACAGAGACAAAGTACACAGTCACACTCATCTAGCTGAGTGTGTTGTGTCGATTATTTGCAGTGCGGCAGATGTTTGTTACTGTTGCTTACAGTTGCTCCCTTCTTTTCTCTAGAATTTACAGATAAAGGCTCATCCAGGTACAATTAACTTTAAATGAGTTTATTCTAATAATAGGCATTCATCAATTATTTACCAGGGCCCTTCTCTGCATATGCAAATTCAGATGGCCCTCGCAGTCGCTATGGCAACAGCTTGCTGAATTCTCCCAGTGCCCGGAGGCGTTGGCTTCCTTCGCCAAACTCTTGCCTACTTCTCTCAGCCCACAGAGACCTGCTCTGCATTTCAGGAGCTTGTGAAACTATTTTGGACATTAAATGGAGTCTGAAAACTTTCTTTGAAAGTATGTTTTATGATCAATGTACATTATTTATCACAAGTGTAACATTATCTTCTTTAGCTTTTGATATGATATACTCAATTTATAGGCCTATGTATGATATTATCAGCTGTCTATGTACTTTCTTATGGATTTTAATGCTATTTTAAACATGTAAGCCAACGGCTGGTTGTGGCAGTCTTGCATATGCTTGTTTATACTTTTAACTCTAGAGGGCGCAGTTGCACCATTTTTTTCTTCTTCTAGATTGCACAATAGACCTTTTAAACTATCACTGATTGATTTGCATTTGTGCAACTTATGTTACAATTTATGTTAAAAATCACATTGTCATTGCTTTGTATCAAATCTGAAATTAAAACCATAGTTTTGAAATTAAAAAAAAAAAAATGATGGCACAAAGCTGACATTTTTTAAAGCATATGTACACTACTGTTCTAAGGTTTGGAGTTGGTAAAATTATTTATGTATTTATTCATTTTATAGTATTTTAATAGACTTGTTCATCATGGACACATTAAATTGAACAAAAGTGAATGAATGAATGAAGCATTTATATAAAGTGACAGTACAGACATTTACAATGTTACAAACGATTTCCATTTCAAATACATTATTTTCTTTTGAACGTTCTATTCATCAAAGAATACTGAAAAATGTGTTGCAGTTTCCAATCAAATTTTAAGCAGCACAATGGTTTAATATTCATAATAATAAAAATAAAGTAAATTAAATAATGAAAAATAAATAAAAAATATTAAAATAAATACAAATATTTTCTTGAGCCCCAAATCAGCATATTAGAATGATTTCTGAATGATCATGTAACACTGAAGCCTGGAGTGATCATGGTTACTGAAAATTTAGCATCACAGGAATAAATTACATTGTAAATAATATGAAATAAAAAAACAACTATTTTAAAGTGTAATAATATTTCACAATATTACTGTTTTTACTGATTTTTTTAAATAAATGCATCCTAGGTGAGAATGAAGAGAGTTTTTTTTTCAAAATCTAACCCAAACAAATGGTAGTGTAAAATTACTCTGTATCTTCATGCAAAATTGGACATACAACAAAAAAAAAAAAAATCAGCATACTGGAAGACCTTTGGATCTGTCCCGAAACAAAATCCATGAAGTTCACATCATGTCCTCAAAAGTGCTTTACTATTCACCAAAAACACCAACCCTCCTTTCAGAGCTGTAATTTGATTACTTAAGTGATGTTGTGCGGTTATATTCCTCCTAATTCAATTGTGGTTTTCCATGAGGTACACAAGTTGAACTTTTTCCCTTTTTTATTGGAATAGTAGAAATTGTATTAAAGTGTATTATGCAACATTACAGGGTGTGACTAAGCTAGATCAAGGGAAATAACATTAATTGTATTTTTCATGTTGTTGCACACAGTATATCTATTCTTCAGTGTACTAGCTGGCTTAAAAGGCATACTTTTAAAACAGAAAATGCCTATAAGTGCACACAAAGTGGGTTTGTATTTTTCATGTAGGGTAACAGTGGAAAAATCCGTTCACGTAGGTGTGGGCTGTTTCTGGTGCTATTTCTAATTACAAATGAGCGTTACAAGGTAAGAGTTTATTTTTTTTACAGAGATTTCTCTTTAAGTCTCTGAGGGTTTACACCTATGATGCAACAATTCCTATTACATAGTCTGTGTTGAGCTCTTCTTTTAGCGACTGAATAAGGACAATCCACATCAGAGCCTTCCAATTCAAATAACAGGCACAAGTGATTCCTCCATCCCAGTGGAGTTTGGGGATGCCTCTCCAAAAACACGAGACGTGCAAGGATCTGCGTTATCTTTGGGGAATCCCACCCTCTGGACTATCACAGGATGAGGACTAAATGACTCAAACCGGCGGAAGCAGCTTGTTTGTGATAACTACTCAAAGACGGAGAGCTGCCCACTGCAGCATTTCCTACTCTATGTCTCTTTCTCTTTCTTTTTCTCCGTCTTGCTTTTCCTCTTGTATTTTGTCACTGGGCGGCACGGTAATCCTACACCTGTCTGTTCTCATACGTTGTACAGTAACTGGCTGAACTGCTTTGACAAGTGTAAGGGGGTTAAAACACACTTGCAGCGCAGAGCCGGGCTCCTATGTGGCTGCTTCTCTCCACACCATGCACACACTGGTATAAGAAACAGCAAAGGATCAAGACTCAGTCCTCTGTGAGAAGGAAAAGAAGGGAAAAAGAGAGGCAGAAGGAGAGCAAACAAACTGAAAAGTTCAATGCTACCGCTGTGGAAAGCCTGACAGGGAGCGGGCTGCTCGCCAACTGGAGATGTCGTACGGTGAGCGTGGCTGCAAGGAGCTGCCGGTGCATCAGGAGAATGATGGGACTGAATTGGAGAGCATGGCCAGCTTACCTGAAGACCTGATGCTGAGCGGCGACTTTCGCGGGAAGTTCAAGAAGATCCGTACCAGGAAAAGGCCCACCATTCTGACATGTAGGTGCTGATTGCGCAAGCCCGTGTGTTTATTTGTTGTCGCTGTCTGCTATGAAATTAGAGGTTGGAGCAAAACTGAGAAGCCGCTTTGCTAGGGTGGGCATAACTTCATAAGTCTTTCCATCAACCATGTGTGACATGCCTCAACGTCTATAGATATTTATTGGTTAGCTCAAGAATGTGCCGTCATGTTTGTTAAAATAGACTGTTTCCTTTCAGTTTATCAAAGTTGTGCGTGAGCCAACTGAACGCGTGAAAACTTCCATAGTGGTGTGCTGAAATGTGAGGAAATGCAGAAGCTCCTTGTGTTTTTGCAGTATTCACTCTAATTCTTAGTTGAATTAAGAACTGATTTGCTAGGTAAGATTTGGGATAACAACATATTTATTCATTTTTTTATGTTTTTGAGAGAAGTCTCATGTTCTCACTATGGCTGCATTTATCTGATCAAAAATACAGTAATATTGTGAAATATTATTACAAATTAAAACAACTGTATTCTATTTGAATATATTTTAAAATGCATTTTATTCCTGTAACGGTAAAGCTGAATTTTCAGCAGCTGTTACTCCAGTCTTTGTTGTCACATGATCCTGCCAAAATCATTCTAGTATACTGTCATATTGTCTCCAAACTTTTGAATGGTAGTGTACATTGACATACAATTCAACATTCTCCACTATTTCTAAGTCATTAGGAAAATGTGATAAGTGATAATGATCATGTCAACTTTGTGCAGATGGTTAGAAGTATTCTTCATTGAACCAGAAGATGCTCTTTGGATCTGCTGTCATTAAAGCAGAACAGAAGCATTTTCCCTAGTGGTGTCAGACTTCTTGGACCCCACAGTGTCTATCCTGCTCGTTTAATGTGCGTTTAATATGATAAACAGTTGAATGTAAATGACAGTAGACACAGAGGCAGCTTAGATTGAGGATAGACACTGCAAACGTTACTTGAGCCCTGTGTGTGTGAGTCGTTGTGTGTGTTTCCTTGAAAGTGTCTGAAAAGGAGGATAAGGTAAGAGTGTAAGGGGAGAAAGAGGGGCCAGAGGGTGGAGAGAGGGAAAATCAGCACAGGGAGGAAAAGTAGATGGAGAAGAAAAGAGGAGTGCAGAGCTGGTACTGATATCCACAGTGACGCCTGCATCAGTGAGACATGCTTCACATTCCATCACTTCATCAGAGCTTGAAAATGCTTTTAATAGGCTCTTAATGGGACTCAAGCGGCTGAACAACCTGCTCCCACTCCCACAGTTGGCTTAAGACTAAATATTTACATTATCTCAAAGAGAAGACGTGGCGATGAATACCTGTGATGGGAAAACTGATTTTGTTTGTAAGGTTATTAAATATTTTAGAGGTCCCAGAATCATAATATCTTTTATTTTATTTTATTTTATTCTTTTATTATTTCTTTATTTTATTTTTTTTATTTTATTTAATTTTTTTTTTTTTGTTATTGTTTTATTATTTTATTTTATTTATTTATTTATTTTTAATTTTTTAAATTTTTTTATTTTTATTTTTTTAAGACTTGAGCCATTTTCCAATACAGTGCTTTCAGTTGTGAGTTGTAATGGCTAGTGCCCTTTAGCTTTTTACATCAGGAAGATTTTGGTCATTTCTAGCCATCAAGACCTCCATTTGCACTGTGTGGTGATAATGGTCTGGTTGAAAGGTTGAGCGATAGTTCAGCCAGGACATTATGTAATAATCTGTCTGAGAGCCCCTTGCTGTGCCAGGTCCAATCTCAAAACGTCATCAGGTCCGATCTGTGTGGGTTATGTCACTGGGATATGTCATCTTTATAACCACTGTAGCAATGTTTTAATTTTTAAAAGGTAAACAAAAACAGGGAAACAGATAATCCCTTGTCCCCTGTAGGCAAATTCTAGTTGTAAATTCTTGGTCACATGAAAACATGTGGTACTGTTGATATGCATTACTGTCTGGGGTATATTGAATATGAAAATATAAAAAAGCTATGCTAAAACTGTTTACTCATATTAACACATGAAAATTTAAGCACTTAACATTTTTCTAGTTAAAAAAATCTGTATCTTATTATCTTTACAGTTGTTTGAAAAGTAGACACCACTGTTGTTAAATTTAGTGGATTTGTGTTATATTAGTATTAGTAAGAATAAATGGACTATTTTCCACCAGAACACAAGTGGGCAGCTTTAAACTGGCCTGATTAATAGAGTGTGAGCATTATGTAATTAAGGGCAAGTTCTTGACATCGGAGGGATAGAGAGGGGCATGATGGGATTATGGGATTATGGAGTGACTCAGGATGTGTAGTGCTTGCCAGTGAATCAGCAGTGTGTAACATCCAAAGCTCAATGCAGAATCTGATAGAGTCTGTATTTATGTTTGTATTTGAGACGGAATGAATATCTGACCAGTCCCAGTAATTATACATAATGGCCATGCTAGTCCACCAGCTGGTCCGGCACCATATTGATACTGTATGCAGTTCACTAAGTGCCTTTGTGATGGAGACTTTTGCTTACTAGTAATGTCACAAGTGATCTTGTTTACAGCTGCATTGATTGGACTAGAGTTTGTGCTTTGCTGACCTTTGCTGACTTCTTGTGAGCTTTGGACTTTGTAGAAATTCTTATTTAATCCCTCAGCAAAAAATTAAGAAAATAGCATGTAAGAATGTGCTTGTGCTGACGTTACTGTTAAAACCGCGTTGCAGTTGTCTCTTTTCAGCACTTTACTTCATACTTGACTGACACTTGTGATGAATGGGGACTTTTAGCACTGGCTCAAGCCAAAACCAACACTGAGTGTGAAAGTGGAGAGTCACGGAAGGTCATTGGTGCCACACAAAAAGTGGGCAAAGGCTTTGGAATATACAGTGGCCCCCAAAAAATCAAAATCCCAAATCTTTGCATTATATTACAAAATAACAAACCAAGTGTGATTTAATTTGAAAGAAATATAGCACAAACTCACTTTTAAGGAAAACATTTCACAAAAAACACATTTGTTGGGTTTTAAAATAGAAGTAGATAAATTACCGTTCAATTTTTTTAAAATATATTTTTGGATTAAGTCTCTTATGCACCAAGTCTGCATTTATTTGATCAAAAATACAGTATAAGCAGTAATATTGTGAAATATTATTACAATTTAAAATAGCTGTTTTCTATTTTAATATATTGTATCATTTATCCCTGTGTTGGCAAAGCTGTGTTTTTACACAGCCATTACTACAATTTTCAGTGTCACATGATACTTCATTGTTATTCTAATATTTTATTTTTTTATTTTTTTGTAAACAGTGAAAACCACTTTTCTTTCAGGATTCTTTGATGAATAGAAAGTTTAAAAGAACAGCATTTGTGAAATTGATTAACTAAAAGTATTTACTGTAACTCTTGATTTATTTAATGTGCCCTTGCTGAATAATAGTATTCATTTCTTTCAAAAAAAAAAAAAAAGTTAATGTGATGGACTACATTTTTCTGATCTTGAGGGAAACTGACTTCATATATCCATTAAAAATCAGCTTGAGACTAGTTTGTTAAAAGTAATTACAACAGTGATGTGAAGATCTGTCATCATCTGTTTGCACATACTACTTGGTTTCATGTTTTGTATCTAATGCAAGGCAGGCATTTTTAAATGTGATTTAAGTGTCCAACATGTCTAATATTTTTGAGGGCCACTGTATTATAATGTTATTTGGGAAATACATCAGCCTTAGATTTTCTCCTTGATTTCCTGTTTATCCCATAACATTGGTGGCTGCTAACAACCACAGTTTGGAATATCTGCAGGTACATACACTATAATAGCAGAACAAACATTGTCTGGGGCTTCATCTTTACCTGTACATCAGGATACTAACCTACCAGATGCCCATTTCCTGGATATTCTCACATGCTCAAGCCAAGGAGGACAGTCGGAAGAGTCTCTCTCACTTGGGATGCAAGCAAACAGAGGTTATAATTAACCACATGGGGCTAAGAGGATTTCTTCCTGCTCTCCCTGCCTCTGTCTCTGGGTTATTTAAAGTGAACCTGCCGAGAGAGAGAGAGAGAGAGAGAGAGAGAGAGAGAGAGAGAGAGAGGGGGAGGGTGGGTTGGACACTCATAGAGGTGGGGGGAGAGCTTAGCGGATCTGTGACGCTCTGTTCTGGTTCAGTCTGTGGTGTCAACATCTCTGTTTAGCATCACTCTCCCATAGCAGCCGATTCCACCTGCCTGCTCCGGCCGCTGCTGCAGGCAGGGGGTGGAAACGTACGGGACCTCAGCATCCACTGACTGACTTCACTGACCTGCAGATATGGCCAGCCAGCAGGACTCGGGTTTCTTTGAGATCAGCATCAAGTCCCTGCTGAAGTCCTGGAGCAGCAGTGAGTATATTGGCGCTAAGAGCCGCGGGATCGCAGCCAGGGCTGGCGGGATGGCTCCAGAATTAGTTTGCATGTGAGAGGGCGAGTTTGTTTCTCTGGTGCACGTGCTCTGGTATTGTTGTCCTCTTTATTTTCATATTCTGGGATTTTATTAGGTCAGCTTAATATGGACTTTATGGCATGCATTGCTATATCTGTTTTACTTTTTTGTGTTGCATGTAGTCAATTGATGCTCATGAATCAGGCTCAATGGGATACGTCATGCAAAAATAACAATTATGACATTGTTTATTCATCTTTATGTCATTCCAAACGAACTAATAAAACACAACAACAACTAGACCTATTACGTTATGTTATGTCAACACTGCTTCTATAAGATCTTGTTGTACGGAACTGAGTGTTTGTTACACGTTTGTCTTGAATTATGAGGTGGAGGTAGCTGGCATTTTTCTCTATATTGCTTTGTAATCCCTGTCCTGGAGTTCTGGTACACAGTATGCTCCCTAGAACAGTGTGCATCAGGTGCCTGTTCGCACCAGCCTAACTGACCAATCAGCTTTGAGGGATGGTCAGCCCTCAGCCAATCAGCTTGCAGCAAGAGTGGCAGTGAGAATTCTGTGCTGATTTGTGTTAACCTAGAAGTGTTTCCTTAAGTAATCAATGTAAATTGACTTTTAATATCTTTTTAATACATGTTCTTAAAGAAATGCATGTTTATTCAACAAGGATGCATTAAATTGACAGTATAGTACGACAATTTATAATGTTATAAAATATTTCTATTTGAACTTTCTATTAATCAAAGAATTCTGAGAAAATTATGTGTATATGTACATTTTTGTATCTAAGTATTTTTTCATGATTTATACATTGCAAGTTGGTTTATATGTTGTTTTTACAGACCTATGTATGTGTAATTCAGAAGCGAATACTTTTTTGTTTTTGTGAATTATGAAATAGCTTCTTTTCAAGCCAGAGTGATATCAAATATTCATAAAAATAAATGTTAAATATTTCAGCCGGACAATTTAATCCTTAGTTTTTAGACCAAATCTCTCTCTCCCTCTGCCTCAGAGTAAATGGGTGAAACGTTCTTATCACTAAATCAAATGTGCTTTGCACAGTGTACCAAATATATGTTTAGCACTGGCTCAGAGGTTTAGAGCTGCGAGTGTCTTTAGGCCTAATGGCTAAATCCAGTAAAAATGTCCTTGTTTTTTAGCTGTCCTAATCAGCATGTCTCATATATATGCAGATGTATCTCATCTTTCAGTTTTTTTGTTTGTCTTCCTGACCTTTCTATATGACACAAGCATTGCCAACTCTCTTCAAATGGTACAGTGTGCTCGGGCAGTTACACAACCTGATCCCGTTACTCCGGGTTATAGTATACTATAGGTGTGGATGCCCATGGGTGTCTGATATGTGACCTCTGGATGCCTTTTATTCTCTGAAGGGCCTGCAAGTCTTATTCTGCATGTTTAAAACATATTTTTTGTCATTGCTCATGTCTTCAGTTTCTTGTTTAGGGGTACAAAGTGAGTCAAGACGCCCTTGGACTTTGGTGTGAAATATCGACAGTTTGGGATTGTACATCAGTACGATGCTATTGAGTTTCAGCTGCAGATTCCACATCCATTCTCACTGTGAACTAAGATTTTTTTCTGTTTGTTGATGAAAGCAACCAGTGGGATATGAGTGGGCTTTGTATGCTAACAAGCTGATAACCATCTGAAAATGGATGGGGCTTTATAGGTCCCATTTATTTAGAGTTATGGCAGATGTCCCCAGGGGCCTTTTGTACACAGTCGGGGTCTATGAATGTAAAAAGCCCACATTATTTACATCAGAGGGAGATATTGTTAGATGTATGTTTTTCCCGTGCTTGTTGTCCACTCCCTGAACAAGAAAAATGTTGGGAGGACACAACATGATTTGTTTTAGAAAGAAAAAAGTGGTGTAATATATTTCTGCGTCTGTGTTTATGTGTGTGTCCCATGTCAGTGTGTGTGTGTGTGTTTGTGTGTGTGAGTGAAATAGAGAGGCGTTGTTCTGTGTCTTGTATCGTCCCTGTTGGGAGCAGCTCAATGCTCAGAGGCTCCTCTGCAGAGTGCTGATGTAATGCTCTGTCTGACCTCATCTCTTGTTTGCAGAGTCACATGTAATGCATCAGGGTGCTGTAATCATCCTGACCGGCACTGGAGCGCACAGACTGTGTGCCATCACAGTTAAAAACAGGTTTTCTGAAGAAAATGAGAGTGGTGCTTGCATATGCAAAATGGCATGATGCTAGCATGTTAGAATGATGCTGTCCGGTTGCTAGGGTGTTCTGAGTACTTACAGAGAGTCGCAGGTGGTTGTAAAGGTATTCTCTTGCTAGTTGCTTATACTGTACTTATTATGACAGTCACCTTGAAGCAACCTGATGGAATCACATTTAATTTACTAGAAACTGATTACTAGAAACTAACGATTCTGAATGAATCTTTAGTTTCAAGATACAGGTGCATCTCAATAAATTAGAATGTAGTGGAAAAGTTCATTTATTTCAGTAATTCAACTCAAATTGTGAAACTTGTGTATTAAATAAATTACCAGCTAAAAGATGGCAATGAATGTTTGTGGCTTACCCTCCTTGTGAAGGGTGTCAATGATTGTCTTCTGGACAACTGTCAGATCAGCAGTCTTCCCCATGATTGTGTAGCCTAGTGAACCAAACTGAGAGACCATTTTGAAGGCTCAGGAAACCTTTGCAGGTGAATTGAGTTAATTAGCTGATTGGCATGTCACCATATTCTAATTTGTTGAGATAGTGAATTGGTGGGTTTTTGTTAAATGTGAGCCAAAATCATCACAATTAAAAGAACCAAAGACTTAAACTACTTCAGTCTGTGTGCATTGAATTTATTTAATACACGAGTTTCACGATTTGAGTTGAATTACTGAAATAAATGAACTTTTCCATGACATTCTAATTTATTGAGATGCACCTGTAGACTTCATCAGTCAGCGTAATTGAATTTTTTTCAATTAATTTAATTGTTAATTATTTTTTTAATTAATTTTCATTTTAAAAGAATCATATATAGTCCCTGAATTTCAGTTGAAGTTACACTGCTCATTAATTCTGTTTCACAAATTAATTTTTTTGAAAGAAAAGAATACTCTTATTCAGCAAGGATGCATTAAATTGGTCAAAAGTCACAGACATTTATAATGTTGCAAAAGATTTCGATTTCAAATAAATGCTGTTCTTTTGACCTTTTTTTGTTTAACAAATAATCCAGAAAAAATTGTCACGGTTTCAATGAATATATTAAACAGCACAACTGTTTTCGACATTGATAATATGTTTCTTGAGAACCAAATCAGCATATTAGAATCATTTCTAAAGGATCATGTGACACTGAAGATAATTCAGCTTCGCAATCACAGGAGTAAATTACTTAAAAAAAATTATAATAAAAAAAAAATATTTTAAATTGTAATAATATTATAATATAAACTGTTTTTACAGTATTTTTGATCAAATAAATGCAGCATTGCTGAGAAAAAAAAGACTTCTTTCTAAAGATTAAAAAACAACAACTCACCAACCACAAACTTTTGATTGGTAGTTCGTATATATACATAATATTAATATTTTGGAATAAATTTAAAATATATTATTAAAAATAATAGTTTTATGTTGAAGTGTCATTTTTAAATTTTGATTTATATTTGATTTTATTTTTTTATGCTTTATGAAATTGTAGTTTATTGTTTATCTTTATTTATTGACATTTTGCTGCTTGAGTTCAATTTATGCATTTTGTTTATGCGATATTTGTATTGAGTTTAGCAAGTCTAGCTGGCATCGGTTGGTGGAATTCAGAAGCTAGATATCTCACTTTACGCCATCTGTGTTTCTACATATGTGCAAACAAGGGAGTGAGAGTGAGTGAGTGAGTCTGTGCCCAATCGAATGATGTTTACACTGTTGGTTAGTGGCGGAGGGGAGATCAGGACGTATAGTGTGTACTCAGGGATAAATATAGCCCTGCAGCTATGCCACTGTAGCATGTCAGTCCTGCACACTTGCCCAGGCACCAGCTAAAAATTCCAGCCTGACCTTCAGTCTCGAGAGGCAGTGGACGTTTACACTGCAACAGAGAGCCTTCAGAAGAGGCGAGCACATGTGTGGATTTGTTATCACCTAATTTTCTAACTTTTGTTTTGACTTGTGTTGTAACAGTATGGGGCAAGTTGCGAATAGGAGAAGGTATTGCCATCACTGAAGTGACTGATAAGGACGTGTGAGGTTTGAAAAACTGGATCCCATTTACTGCTCCCCTACTATGGACAGCACAGTCATGTGCTGGAATAAAACCAGCATGGTGAACTTCATGAAAGGTCTGGGTAGGTGCTACAAAAGAGAGAGAGAAAGAGCCGTGAGTGAGAATCTGTCAGTGAATGACGATGAAACTTGTAAACGAACAAAGTGTTTAAGTAACAGAATTGGTAAAATGTGACATTCAACGAGTGCAAGGCAAGCCTCAAACTTACACATGAGCTTTTATTGCTGTTTAGATAATAGCAACATAGCAAAAAAGACTGTTTATTTAGCTGAAGTATTATATTGGTCTAAGATGGTTTGATGAAATTAAGACTTCATCAACAATAAATGTTTGTTGCTGACTTTTTGAGGTGCAGTGTATGTTAATGAATGATTGTGCAGTTAGGTAGAATGATATAAAATGAAAGAAATATTAAAGGTGACCTATTATGCCCCTTTTTACAAGATGTAAAATAAGTCTCTGATGTCCCCAGAGTGTGTATGTGAAGTTTTAGCTCAAAATACTCTACAGATAATTTTTTATAGCTTGTTGAAATTGCCATTTTTAGGGTATGAGCCAAAACGCGCTGTTTTCTGTGTTTGTCCCTTTAAATGAAAACGAGCTGGTGCTCCCGCCTCCCCTTTCAGAAGAGGGTGGAGTTTCTAGAGCTCGCGCACCGGCATGCCAGCAATAACAAAACACTCTCTCACGCACGGAAAATGTCAGAAACTGCTATTAGCGGTGTTCAGCCATATATGTTCGAACCGGTGTCGTGCCGAATTCTGCACCCTGCCAGATTATTTATGAATTACACAGACGGGGAGCACGGCACTATAAAAATAACAACATAGCTGGTCTCATGGTTCCATTGCGTGCTAATACGAACTTTATAAGTCTCGAATATGATTATGAGCTAGACAAATTCAAGCTGTCGATTTCACATTGCTTTCATATGCAATTTTTAACTACCACATTCCTATTCACGATCATTCTGGTAGCACGTGAAGGCAGCATCAGTGAAAACTGCAGTCCGGTATAAAATGATTCGCGCAGACGTAAACGAATTTCTGTAGAGTTGAGGGAGCATTTTCTTCGAAAACAAAATTAATCCCTGTGAACTCGCTCAGGGCGGTTCTATGTTAAAACGGCAGTGTCTGTCAACATTCGTGGGTGGGGCCTGTGGCTAATGTGACGTCACATTAGCATCAATGCTAAAAATAGGCCATTGGGAGACACTGTTTATTATTTATGGGGATTAAAAAAAAAGGCGTGGGTGGATTTTTATCATTATAGGGTGGTTGTGTACACACTAGCAGAAGGATTATACACAACCACCAGCACATTAAATACACACACATATACATATATATATATATATATATATTTAGAAATGGATCGTACTCACACACCATGGTTCCCGCATCGGAGCCCCGTCCGAAGAAGCCCCCTAGAGGACGCAGTTCGAAGTTCCCATGAAAGGGAAGTCTGTTTTTTTCAACATATGATAAGGCTGTGTCTAAAACAAGATCAAAATTTGTTGTCAGAATTAACACTGCTGTGACTGTCACATGCCCCCTCTGCAACTCGACCGCTGTTACGTACAGTCCAGTCCAGTCCAGTCCAGTCCAGTAGATTGTGTGTGTGTGTGTTTGTGAGCTCTGTGAAAGAAATATGAAAGTAATATGAAATTGCACCTTCTGCTTCTAGGGTGTTACTTTATTTTGTATTGAGGAAAGCTGGGCGTTACTTTGTGTGCACAGGTTGCAGTCACTGGCAAGCTGCAGAATGAGAAGGGTTGTGAAATTCTGAAATGGATTTCACTGTCTGGATTAGGAAACGGTCATTGTCTGAAATACAATAATTGATTGTATTCATTCAAATATTTTTTTGACCTCTAAACTAGAACACTAGAAAATCCATGTGATTAATACAAAATACAATACGTTCAATGTTTTAGACACAGTAAGAACACCTCATTTACATAAGACCTCATTATTACAACCCCTCTCAATTTGCTTGCCTTTTAGATTAATAACATTTATTATGTGTACTATTATTATTAAATATATAAACAATAATGTAATATTTATTTTATTTATTTATAGTGTTAATTAAAAAAAAAATTGTATTCAAAGCTTCACCAGGGTACAGCAAGCCTCCTGTCCCGCCGGTTTGCTGCTCGCAGGGTGAAAAGGGCCCGCCCGCCATGATGCCCATCAGCGTGGACCCAGAGAGCCGGCCGGGCGAATACGTGCTCAAGAGCCTCTTCGCCAACTTCACCACCATCTCTGAGCGCAAAATACGGATCGTCATGGCCGAACCGTTGGTGAGTGACAGTTCTGAACTATTGAAGGTAATGATCTTAAGACCTGTGACCATTCCAGTACCAATACTCATCTGTCTCTGAGGATTCTGGAGATGGCTGACCCATGTGGATGGTGGGAATGGCTTGTTCAGACTGAATTTAACAATGAAATACAAGCTAATCTGGCTAATTCTAGTTGTTTATGTAGCTCAGCACGTGACCCTACATCTATGTATTGTTCTTGACAATAGAAATGAAATTTATATCTGACAGAAATGGAAAATGCAGATGAGATGTTAGTGTTAAAACACTTGCTCTTTTCGAAGGAGACCATGATCACTTACCAGCCTTGTTAGTATTTCCCAGACAACAGACAAATTTACCTGCATGTGTGTTTAACAGCGAGCTGCTAGTTTCTTGGCCGGCAGGCAGGCTAGTGTTAATGAAACTTTCCCAGGACAGATATATTGTGTCCCCCAAAACAGCTGCCAACAGAATGAGCTCATCTTTTGTCTTCTAATTTTTACTGAAAAAAAAATCAGAGATCAGGTTACCTGATTTCTTCAGCCACAGTTGTGTAGTGTATTGTTTAATAACTGGTATGTATTTACATAAAGAATAGTATGACCTGGATTATCTGCAGTTTGTTTGTACAGCAACAAACAGTAAATAGAGATTCATAGCTGCAGTATCTTTTTTGTTTCTGGAAATTATTTACTTTTCTTTCTCTTCGGACGCAACTAGAATGTTTTTATGGGGCGGTCTTGAAATACCCCAGTCTTTTGATTCAGAAGTGGAGAAAGGTCCTGCTAGAGCACAAGGCGGTCCATTAACCTCTTATAAAAGCCTTAAGGGAAATTGCTCTGTCCTTGTCTGCCCTCTCATCTGTTTCTCCCTCAAATGACTTCAGCAACTGAAATATTTATTAGCCTAAGATGAAAGAGGCGCTCTAGTGGGTTGAATGAGCTCAAATTAAATTGAACACAGTCTGAAAGTGTTATGTCTGACAAGCCCAGCAGGGTCAGAGAAGACAGCCTGTTCTGGGCCCAGAATCCAAATAACAAAATCATAATACTATTTGAATATCCAAATCACTTAGTAAATTTGCTTTCACCTGAAAAGAAGCTACACAGAATTCCAGGGCTTAATTGAAACATATTATGTTATCTGAGTAGGAGTACGAAATGTAGGTCAGTTTGTTTTTTTTACACAACCTGTGTTGTTTAATCAGCAGGTCTGATCTGTGATAGTTGCTAAGATCAGCTTTTTCACATTGTAAGACTCTGCAGGTTGCCCTGTTTGTATATACACACTGCTGTTCAAAGGTTTGGGGTCAGTAAGATTTTTTTTTTTGAAAAGAATACTGTATTTCCAAAAGGGAAAAAGAATACTTTTATTCTGCAAGATAAATTACATTGATCAAAAGTGACAGTAAAGTCATTTTATAATATTACAAAAGATTTATATTTCAAATAGTACTGTTTACACAAAAATAGTAAGCAGCACAGCTCTTTTTAACATTGAAAATACATCAGCATATTAGAATGATTTCTGAAGGATCATGTGACACGCCCAAAACTGGCGTATTGGTTGCTGAAAATTCAGCTTTGTCTTCACAGAAATAAATTACATTTTAAAATATATTAAAATAGAAAACATTTATTTTTAATTAGTAATAATATTTCACAATATTACTGTTTTTTGATCAAATAAATGAAGACTTGGTGAGCATAAGAGACAAAAAAAGTAAAAAAAATCTTACCAACCCTAAACTTTTGTAATTTACAGTAGCTTCTAGAATTCATGATGTTGAAACAGAGCCGCATTTAATCAAGGAAACCATAATGAATCACGAGAGAGAGACAAAATTTGAATTTGTAAAATTCTAAATGTAAAAATGGAATTAAATAAAAGAAAATTGAAATTAATTCATTATAATTTTGCGTTGGGGCCAGAATGAGCAAGCGGAAAAATCTTTATTGTTGAGCTTTGTTATATGATTATAATTCTCAAGCTCTGTTTTTACAGTTAACTCATTTGTAAATGAATGAGAAAAGTATCTGTAAAATGAATAAATGTATTAAATGTCCCATTTTTATTGCAAAGTTTCTTTTCAATTTCTTACCAACCCTAAACTTTTGTAATTTACAGTAGCTTCTAGAATTCATGATGTTGAAACAGAGCCGCATTTAATCAAGGAAACCATAATGAATCACTTTCAGCTATAATTGCCTGAATCATATTTCCTCTAGAAAACCCTTTCTGTTGTTTTTACAGGAAAAACCTCTGGTAAAGTCTCTTCAGAGGGGTGAAGATCCACAGTTTGACCAAGTAAGTACTGTTTGCTTTCTGCCCCCCTGAACTTATGCGCACATCCCCACATCCAGTCTGTGAACAGATGTCCAAGCGGAAAGACAAGAGACAGCCCGGCTGTGCCAAAAATTAATCTGACTTGTTGAATTATTAAAATAGATTTATGGATCTGTCTGGCCTTTAAAGCATTCAGAGTGACCTCAGTAAAAGCCTGATGTGGTTTTTGGCTTGTCTGGCTGTCTGAGAGTGAGCAAGTCCATTTGCATCTCTGATAGATTATATAAGAGATTTTTATGCCTCAAATTCATGATAGATAGGAGACACTGCATGCTTTTGTGCAGTGTTCAAGACATTATTTCTTTATAATTTACCCATAATTGCTTCTGATTGTTTTATACAGGGCTCAACAATAAAGATTGCATATAATTTTCATTGCAGATTTCCAGTTTTTCTTTGCAATTTGGTAAAAAATGTGTGAGAACATAATAATATGAAATAAATGTTCATATGCGTGTGTGTGTGTGTGTGTATATATATA